AGAGCGCGAGAGAGCGAGAGAGAGAGCGAGAGAGAGCGAGAGAGAGAGCGCGAGAGAGCGAGAGAGAGAGAGAGCATTAAATCGGATGTTTATGTTTATTCAGCCTTCTGACACACATAGCCTACTTCCTTCACCATATGTTTGGACTGGGAAGTAAAGTAAAGAAACAATGCAAATATCACGCAGATTAACTGAAAAAGTTGTCTTACATTTCCCAAGACAAATACAGGCCTATATGACAGTCCAACATTACCTTTTTATCCGAAGAATACACTGCGGAGACGCCTTCTCGTTGTCCCAGTCAGTGCTTAACGTGGGATCCCAGGAGGTGGCGTGAATTTGGGACAGGAGGCCCGCTCCGGCCGGGACTCCTGATCCGACACCGGGCGGCAGGGAAGGAGGAACGGCCACCACGGGAACCGCATGGGTCAGCACACCGAGTCCGCTCTCCACAGCCGGAGTGATGGTGTGCGCGATCATGGGAGCGACCACAGCCACTGCCGGAGGCGTCGAGGCGGATGAGTGCCCCTGTACGGAATTACTCAAACTCGAGGACAACTGCGCTCCGTGGTCCTGCGCCGTGCCCACAGAGCCGTTGGCCCCCTCCCCAGCGCTATCCGCCATCGTCGTTGAGACCGAAGAAGCCGCAAACTGTCTGAACAGCTGTCAGATCAATCGGTCTTTAATGCAGTGACTGTTTCTCCTCGCTCGGGAGGCAAGTGGAGGAGGGCAGGAAAAGAGAAATGACTCCCAAGTTAACGTTACATATTCTCCCTTTTCCCCTCTTCCGACCTCAACTATAACAACCTGCGTCGAAACCAGCGCCGATTTTTAACGTTTTATCCGAAGTAGCTGAGCTTAGAGAAGCATTTAACGTTCACGTCAAAGAAAACGGAGTCTAAACGCACGCGAACGTAGTTTCTGCTGGTTCGGCCTGGCCTGTTTATCAATGTTGTTTCATTTCTCCTCACTTCCTCCTCGTTTAGAAGGAAATAGTGCCATCTAGCGGTGCACTCCTGGAGGAGATTCAGGCTAAACGGGTGTCGTAATGGATTCAAACGATTCGTTCAGTATTATATTACATTTTCTGGTTATAATCCAAATAATGGGTTTTTAAACTACACGTCAACTTGTTATATAAAACAGTCCTATATTATAACCATTCTTGGTTAATTTGAACCTGAGGTTCAGTGAGTCGTATTAATTCGTAAGCGTTTGATTCATTAAAAAGAACCGGGAATCGTTTTTTTATCCACTAAGATCAGTTAGGGCAGTGTTTCTCAACCAGGGGTCCGTGGACCCCTAGTGGTCCTTGACGTAAGGCCAGGGGGTCCATATAAAGTATGAATTTTTGTATAAATGTTGTATATTTTGACATGACATGTTCCCATGAAAGAAAAATCCAATATAGCTGATGATATGGCCAAATAGTGTCAGCTAAAGTCAGCTAACTTGAATTATACTTGACTGCATCTGGTCCTCACAAAGACACACAAATGATACATAGATGAGTCAATTTTGTTCTTGGGGTCCTTGAGGATGGTTCTGAATTGGACTGGGGTCCGGTACGCCAAAAGGTTGAGATTCACTGAGTTAGGGAATCGGATTACATTGGTCGCGCTCTATTTTTGATTCACTAAAATGAATCGATTCATAAGAGTCATTTGTTAGGGAATCAGACTACATGCATGTTAATGATTCACTTAAAAGGACCAGTATTCGGTAAGCGGTCGCTGATGCACGTTCAAGAACCGTTAATGTAACCGAATCGACGAAATCATTAGGCTCAGGTATTTTTAATGAAGTCCGTTCTTGTTTCCCAGCGTTAACAAAAAGGGAGTTTGCTCATTACTTCAATACCGGGAACCCACAAAATATTGGGCAGGTAACCATGGCTACCGACATTTCTGCAATTGTTCGTCTAGAAACAAAACATGGGATCTCATTCAAACAATGTAAGGAGCTTTGAGAAGCGTCTTATGGCAATGTCCGGTTTAAGCTATTTTTGGTGAAACTGAGACGGGAAAAATGTGTAACCTTTGTTACATTGCTCTGCAAGATGAACAAAGAATGCACCTTGTATGAACCTTTTAGTACCATTTTTTTCAAGTCAAGTCCAGTTGTTAAGTTGAGCTTTATTGTCATTGTGCTGCATGTGGGGACATACAGTGGAACGAAATGTCGTGCCTCACAGGACCACGGTGTTACATAAATACAGGCATACAACAATGAAGTAAAAACAGTAAAAACCTATACAGTAAAGCAGTAAAAACCTATACACAACTAACCTACTGACTGATTTTAATAAATCTGCAAAAATGTCAACGATTCTGTGTTTTTCTGTCAATATGGGGTGCTGTGTGTACATTAATGAGGAAAAAAAATTAACTTAAATGATTTTAGCAAATGGCTGCAATATAACAAAGAGTGAAAAATTTAAGGGGGTCTGAATACTTTCCGTACCCACTATATATATATAAATGTTTACCTATACATAAGTTAAAAAAATACAGACTATACGGATGCTTCACATAATACTGTACATGTGCAAAGAGAAACATCGTAAGTCAAGCAGCTGGCTGGGGAACAGTGCAGATGATTTGTAGTGCATGAGCATGTAAACACACCTATTACGGAGTCTTTTGTGGGATTATGTACACAAAGCAGTGTGTGTGAAAAGTGTCTAGTGCGTATAGAGGAGAGTGTGTTTCTACAGGTGGTTTGTGCAGGCCCTGTAGCACACTTCGAATTGTTTCAGACAGTTTTTTGTGATGTGGTAAGGTTGGTGAGATGGTCCATGTTTCAGGAGGTAGGGGGTTATGTGGGGTTTCAGAGGAGGGCGGGGTGATTTTAGTTCAGGGCTCTCACAGCCTGGGGGAAAAAGCTGTTGAGCAGTCTGCCAGAGTGGGCTCTGATGCTCCGGTACCGTCTTCCTGATGGTAGGAGCTGGAAGAGACTGTGGGAGGGATGGGTGGGGTCCTTCACGATACTGTTGGCTTTGCTGGAGCATCGTGTAAGGAAAATGTCCAGGATGGAGGGGAGAGGGGCACCGATGATCTTTGCAGCTGTGTTCACTGTCCGCTGGAGGGTCTTGCGGTCTGCTGCACTACAGTTCCCATACCAGACAGTGATGCAGCTGGTCAGCACGCTCCCAATTTCCCCTTCAAAAACAGTTGTCATCTTTACTCAATGATTTATCATGTATCTTTGCATAGCTAAATACTTTATTAAACTAATTTGGATCTATTAAAAGAATAGTTCACACAAAAAAAGATAGACATTTAAATAATTTTTGGGTGAACTTTAAACTAATAATGAACAAACTAGATGAACACCAATTAGCAAGAACTTGAGCAAATTTATACTGGGTATATTGAAATGTTAGCATGCCACACAAATCACTACAAGAAGTCTTGAAACATTTAGCCTGAGTGACTTTTGGACAACCTATTGGAGACAGCATGGAGAGGTTTTGAATAAAAGTTAAATTCAATTCAATTATATGATAAATATTCCCCCAATCCAGTATTAGCTTTAAAAACACACCAGGCCAGTCTACCTTTCCACTGCATCCTCAAAGCAGAAAAAAAAACGAGCAACAGCAAACAGATTTCAACCATTTATTCAGATGGTCTTATGAGAAGTGAGTTCTTACATAAAACTTTCAGATAGAGAAAAACGGTACAGGGGAACATAAAAAGGGAGAGTTTCTTGTAGTTTTGTTGGAATGGCGGTGCCACGGCCTAAGCTGCGTGTCACAGTTTCAATCTCCAGATCAAGGGAGTCAAACCGCGAGAGAAGAGAAGACATCCAAATTACATGGCGAACAGGATGAGGAACGCCACCATCAGACAGAACAGACCCATGGCCTCAGACAAAGCGAAGCCCAAAATGGCGTAGGAAAAGAGTTGCTGTTTCAGGGAGGGATTCCTGTAAATGGAGAAAAAGTGACTTAGGCACAAGCTACATGTACAACAAATAAACCAAGTTTAAGAGGCTAATTACCTGGCATAGCCAATAATGAGGCTGCCGAACACCGTCCCGATTCCAGCTCCTGAACCAGCCACACCCACCGTGGCAGCGCCAGCACCAATGAACTTGGCCGCTGTGTCGATATCTCTGGATACAGCACTGGTCTGGAAGCCCCGGGTTACATTAAGAAGGGTCGCTTCACTGACTGGCAACAGAGCAGCCTGAAAAGGAGGGCAAGAAATTTAAGTATGTGCGTTTAAGTTTAAGTATCCATATGAGGAACTCATATGGAAGCCACTTTTTATTTATCTTACCTGTTCAGTTCTTGCCTCCGGTCTGCTGAACACCACTGAAACAGGCCGGGCCAAAACCCTGGATCCTCCACGGACCTGAGGGATGAAAAAAAAAATACTCACAATGAGAGCTAAATGAATGTCAGTGTGATATGCATTCCACCAAATGCATGGGGGAAGTCGTGGCCTAATGGTTAGAGAGTTGGACTCGTAACCCAAGGTTGCGGGTTCGAGTCTCATACCGGCAGGGATTGTAGGTGGGGGGGAGTGAATGTACAGCGCTCTCTCCCACCTTCAATACCACGACTGAGGCGCCCTTGAGCAAAGCACCGAACCCCCAACTGTTCCCCGGGCACCGCAGCAAAAAGTGGCTGCCCACTGCTCTGGGTGTGTGTTCACGGTGTGTGTGTTCACTGCTGTGTGTGCACTTTGGATGGGATAAATGCAGAGCACTAATTCAGAGTATGGGTCACCATACTTGGCCACATGTCACGTCACTTTCACTTTCATATGTTTTTCTATCAACAAACCTTGACAGAAAGCACGTTTCTAAATCAAATTTATGAGAGTGCAAGGATCCAGTGGGTATTAATGTTATCAACTTTAACAACCCTAAACCACTTGACATAGTTTACTATGAATATTGCTCTGCAACAAATTGATTTATGTTCCTCTACTGCAAGTCGCTTTGGATAAAAGCAACTTCTAAATTCATAAACGTAAATTTAATACAAGCACTTAAAATGCATGATTATAAATGTGGTTAGAATTAATATTAATGTAGACAATTCCTTCCATAGAAGTTACGCAAAACACTCATACAACAAGCCTCTAAAAAGAATGTCATTAAAGGATTAGCTCATTTCCAGAATAAAAACTTCCTGATCATTTACTCACCCTCATGTCATCCAAAATGTTCATGTCTTTCTTTCTTCAGTTAAAAAGAAATTAAGGTTTTTGAGGAAAACGTTCCAGGATTTTTCGCTACATGAGACCCCTATTCCTTCGGCTGGGATCGTGTAGAGCCCTCTGAAGCTACATTGAAACTGCAATTTTACCTTCAACCCCTTGAGTCCCATTGAAGTCCATTATATGGAGAATAGTCCTGGAATGTTTCTCAAAAACCTTAATTTCTTTGCGACAGAAGACAGACATGAACATCTTGGATGACATGGGGGCGAGTAAATTATCAGGACATTTTTATTCTGGAAGTGAACTAATCCTTTAAGGTCATTTTCTGAGACAAGTCAATGGAGTGTGACTGGAGTGTATTTGGGCTTGAATACATACCACAGCAGGTGAGGTGACAAACTTAGCACATGCGTACATGCTTGAAGCCTGTGGAAAACAAAGATGTTACAGACAGGTGAAAGATAAGCACTAATGTCCTACACGTTAAATCGCGTGTCCTTAAATTATAGTCTATACACATAGTGATAGGAAAGCGACAAAAACAGGAGAGGTCTGACTGTGCCATCAAGACTTAAAATTACAACTCACTTAGCAACTGAAGAGACTTTCAATTTAAGACCAAACCATTCAGAGAAGGCAAATGAGATAATAAATAAGTGTTCCATAATATCATCAGCACCCAAACCAAAAGACCCCTTATCTGCACACAGAACATCTGTTTAGATCTGTTTGGTTAAGTTAACCTCCAAACAAAGGATGCAAGACTGCTCTAGGTCAGTGGTCAAACATGGCATCATGG